TGGAGAACTCTGAGAAGTCATCTGAAGATGCCTTAGGGAATTGCAAGCATGTTTTGCTTAATGATTCATGCCACACTTTATGATTCAACCAGAAGGCATGGGATTGATTAAAAGAGGCATCTCATCTGAGGATGTTGCTACGATGTCATTACACTTGTCGAAGCTGCAACAGCAAAGATCAACGCTAGCCTGCTTCTTTCTACTATAATATTCCATGTGTGTGCATGGGCACTGAGGCCAGTATTAGCTGGTGCAAAGGACCTCAAACCTGGAAGGCGCTTTGATAATGCAGAGAGAGGGCCCTAGCCCAAAGAGGCTCTTGTCTCTGCCATTTGGACTCTGGGTTATAAGATTTCTGAAGGCTAGTGAATCACTCCAAGTACCTGAGAGAATCCCATTAATATAGTGGGGCAAACGAGTTGAAAACTGCGTTGTCCCAGTATTCTGGAAGTTTCCGAGAAAAGCCCTGTCTATGCTGCACACTAGCCCAAGCGCTCTTTCTGGATGCCCCCTTTTCCTCTGTAACAGAAAGCCTATGCAAAAGCTGAGACCGCCCCGCACATCAGTCTTGCATGTTCATACCTGGAAAAGGAACTGCAGCTGACTCTAGAGCCCGTGCTCTCCACAAGTTAACAGAGTGCTGCAACCACAGCCACACTCTCTGGGCTCCACCAGCTCCGTGTGGAATGCTGGCTTTGTGTACCTTAGCAGTGAGTTTAAATTAAACAGCTATTACGAAAGCTCCATCTCAGGCTGAGGTGATAGTTCAACAGCAGAGACAGCGGCTTAGCTTGTGCAAAGTTTGATGCCAGGGAAAGGGGAACAGGAATGGACATCTATAATCTATGGCTCCGAACTCTGTGAGGCTCAAATAAATCTTAAGTTACAAGTTCGTGTCCTGAAAGGATCTAAATGAGGTGCCTAACAGAGCACCAAGCAATTTACAGAGAGACTATACAGGGTCTGAGTAGCATGTATTTATCTGAGTCACCCTGTCTACCTGGGGCCACCAAGGGAACCAGACCAATGTCAGAATTCTAACCAGATCCAATGCCCTCACTTTAAAACAAAGCAGCCCTTTATTTCAGAACCAAGGTCAAGGCACACTAACTTTCCAGAAGCCCAGTGAAAGCCCTGTTGCTTTCTTTCTGCAAACAGCCTCTTGCTTTGTCAAAGGACAAACGACACAGGAGCAGAAGGCGACAACATATGGTACACATGATCGATCGATCAAAAATGTTACTGCAAAGCTGGAGGGGACAATTCAGAAAGAAAGGGAATATGGAGTGGTCAGTCCTTGGGCAATGCATTTTCTTTTATAAATAGCACAGTCTAACTCTAATAGGATGCCCTAAGGTACACGTGAGTCTGCTCTATTTTTCCTGGGCTCCTCAAAACACAGCTCAAATCCAAGGTCAAGTATATCGTGACTTGGTCATAAAACACACCCAATGTGGTGCCTGTGTACTTAAGACAAAGCAAACCAGCATGTCCACGTGTCAATGTACTTTTTACACACTACCAGGATGCTGCAAGCCAATATCTTAGGAATATTCACTAACCACTTTCTGTTTTCACTCAACCAATAGGGTTCACAATGATCATCATTATCTTCAGTGCATGGACTGGATAAAACATAAATACTAACTTTGCCTTTATAGGAGACATGCATGACTCTTCATTTAAACTGTGTTGTGATAGCTTTAAACATTAAGAATACTGAACCAACACAGATGCCAAAGAATCACCCACTTTATTTCACCTGATAGGTTCACGCCTGAAAACTCTCAGTAAGAAAAAGAGAGAGCATTCATTTCAAGAGGAGTCCACAAACTAGCTCTGAGGCAGTTTTAAGAGGGTTCCCGAAATTATACTGTACCAGAGACACTGGAGTCTGCCAAAAAAAGTGGGTGCCAGGATCCCAAAGTGCCCGTTTTCAAGGAAAGCTCAAGTTTACCTCAGAGGTCTTAAAAAACACTTATTTACCTTTATTATTTTAATCTAACAGGTATTTTGCCTGCATGTATATCTGTGCACACTTGCATGCAGTGCCCACGGAGGTCAGTCAGAAAAGGGCATCAGGTCACCTGTAACTGGTGTTACAAACAATTGTGAGTTTCCACACAGGTGCTGGGGACTGAACCTGGGTCCTCTGGGAGAACCATCATTGCTCTTAATCGCTTAGCCAGCTCTCCAGGCCTGCTTATAGTACTTTCCTCTTTTGTTTGTTTTCCTTCCTTAGCAACACTCACAGTCAATGAAGAAACCTTTAAAAATACGTCACTGAACTTGTCCATGACAGCACAGCATATAAAATAAAAGGGGCTGGGGAGATGTTTGGCAGGGAAAGTATTTGTTGTGCAAGCATAAAGACCCAAGTTCAAATCCCCAGAATCTAGGAGCAGGCAGATTCCTGGAGCTCACTGGATAGCCCATCTAGCCAATGTAGGGACCATGTTCAGCAAGAGAGCCTGTTTCAAACAGAAAATAAAAACAAATATGGTGGAAGGCTCAGCAAGTAAAGATGCTTGCTGCCAAGCCTGTGGGTCTGAGTTCAATGCCCCGATCAGCTTGGCAGGAGAGGACTGACTCCTGCAAGCTGTCCTCTCACCTCCACGCATGCTCCCCGGCATGCAACACGAGTACACACACAAACAATAATAAATAAACAAATAAGTAATTTGTTTTCTCAAACAGGGGAGAGTGACAGAAGACGATACTAACCTCTGACTTTCATATACGAACACACAGATGTGTGTACTCACACATACACATATGCTCACTGAACACAAATCCACATGAAAGAATACTGTAACAAATTAAAACTCTTTCATTTAGCTGTTGGGTATTGCAATAAACACTCACATGCAAAGCAAAAAAAAAAGTCACTAGCTGGATCTTCAAACTACCTTCTTATCTCCCCCTCTCCCTCCCCTTTTGCTATGCTGGGGACCAAATTCAGAGCCTTGTATATGATAAGTAAGTGATCTACCACTAAGCTATGACTCTAGTGCACATATAAAATACATTCTTTAAAAAGTGAAGCATTAACAGTCTAAACTGAATTCTTTTTTTAAACTTTTTTGGAATTAAAAAAAAGTCAGAACAGAATGATGAACCCTTGTAACAATAAGCCAATTTTTAATAGTTAGTAGATACTGGGTATTTCTGTGGGGATTTTAAAATCCTCATCATGGTGCACATCCCCTCCACCTCTGCCCCATGTATTATTTAAACGCAGTTATCTCTTAGTGTCTTCAGGGAAATTGGTTCCAGGACCCCTAGGGACACCAAAATTAAAGGCTGCATGTAACAATGCAATGTATATGCAACACAAACAGTTATTATACTATTTTAGGAAACAATGACCAAAAAGCTCCAAGCATGTTTGTCAGGACAGCTGTAATTTTACCTCAAACATTTTCAAACTGCAATTGGCTGTGGAACTAATGGCTATGGAGGGTCGTCTATATCATGTAGATTATTGTGATTACATATATTAATTTATACTTCTAAGAGAAAAGATCTCAAAAATAACATCCACAAAATTTTATAAATTAAAAACATTATAAATACAGCCACATGCCTTAAAAAGTGGTTATCACTAAAGAAGAGGGGCTAGAGTTGGGCGCAGAGGCTTCACTCTTCACTCACTATCTTCTAGTTCATTCAACTTTTACTGCACCGGAACATACCATGTCTGCAAGGGCAGCAGAGAGGCTGTGTCAACCATAGAAGGACACAAGGTCTTAAGTTGGGGTGGATGCTCAAGAGGCAGTTTGAATAAATCCAACCACTAGCAGGTGAAGATGTCTGTCAGGTACAGGACAGGAATTCTCTAAAGTCACGGAGGACTATGGGCATGATGATGTTACTAAACACAATTATGACTCCAACTATGTGCAGGGTCAGACACTGAAGACATGCAATGGTTCACTCAGCTTGTCTACTGCCATAGCTAGTTCCAGCAGGCTGATGAAATCTAACACAGAAACAGCGAGGGTTTACAGGGTACTTCAAACCCCTCCCTTTTCCTTCCTCTTTTGAACAAGTCAATTAACTTTCTCCTCTTTTCTTTTTAATCGTCACTTCTGTGCTTTCTCTGCCTTACCTTTTGGAAAATGTCATCTGGCTCCCTGGAGGACCATCTGGTCTACCTAACTCTGAGAGCACTACTGCAGATGCTGAGCCACATGGGTAGATGTTATTTACACTGAATTCATTCAGCACAAAGGGCTCTAGAGCTTACAGGTTTTTGATTGGTTGCATGGGAGCTCTGAGAAACTGAAATAGAAGAGTGGCTGAGTTTTAAGACTTTTTTCATTGCTGTCACACTACACCACTCCTGACAAAAACTACAGACATAGACTCAAGTACCATCAGACCAAAATCACCAACACCACTTAAAATCATGAATGTCTAAATACATTTGAGAGAATCATTTTTTTTTTCACTTCCAAATATTACTTGATCAGGTTACTGAAATATTCCTCAGTAAAGGCCAAGAGGAAAATGTCTTTCAAGATCTGACTTTTAATGTTCTGCATTTTTTTGAAGTTTTCATAAGCTTGAGCATAACAAAATTCTGAGAACTTTGAAATAGTGGTTTCTTTCAGTTAAATTATAGCCTGCCCTTCACAACTGTTTATCTTTTATTATTTTACTTAACAAAGCCTGATGTTTTTAGACAATACCTAAAAACAGTTCCTCCAGCATTAGCAGCCTAATGTCTCACCAGAGTTGACAATTTGCCATATTTAAACCCGCGGCTATTATTTTTATGAAAGTGTGTACCAGAACAATTTATGGATGACCCAAAATGGAATGAACCCACAATGTGCCTGAGAAGCCTAATGATAGTTTCCACATGCTGCCTGATTTCACCCACGTGCTTCTTTAGCTGGAGCTGACAATTTTCAGCGGGGAGAGATTTACTCCATTGCTGTTTAAAAACACACATGGAAAAGTACCGGGTGGGGCTGTGCTATTCCCCAGGGTACCTGTTTCATCTGGGGAGCTAGGGGAGGCACTGTCTTGGGACAGTGTTGTCCAGCTGGATTCCTCGTCACTTGGTGCCAGGTTCTGGATCCGGTGGAGCGCACAGTCAGTTTTGGCCCCTGTTTTAGGGTGGTCCTTCTTGGTCTCTGGGCTGGATGACACGGTGGCTACCTGGCCATCCTCTGGGCTGGACTGGGGTCTGTTTGGTTTCTGCAGCAGCAAGTCGCCATTCCCGATGACTACAGGGGCCTGGCCAGGGCCTGGCTGGCCTTTCTCCTCCCCAACCCCTTGGCAGGGGTCCAGATTCTGCCTCAGCTCTCTAGCTGAGGTTTCCAGGTCTGCATAGTAATTGAGGAAGCTCTTAGTTCTCCTGGGCTGGGAGGGCAAAATCTCACAGCCTGAGGACTCCGGTGGGTGGAGATCTTTAACCTCCAGCTTCTCAGAAGTTATGCTGATGACTGCTGTGGGGCTGATGTTTTTGTTGGGGTCCTGCTGCCCCTGTTCTGCGGCTTTGCGGAGTTGGTTCTCCCCATTTTTCACCAGCTTGATATTGGCAGAGCCATTTCCCAGCAGAGGCTGCACGGCTGGATCTGACAGACCCATAGCCGCCTGGATGTTAGTCAGTGCATATTTTTTCCTGCATTTGGGGGGTGTGCTGTTCTTGGCATCTGAGTGTTTGATTTCAGCATTTAACAGTTCATTGTGGGAGGAACGGAGATTAAGGGTATTCGGTGGTGTGGCTGGGCTGTTCCGATTTGCAACGTCTGTGGTTCCACTGCTGGCCATAAACACTGCCAAGGTGTCAACACCTGAGTCAGCTGTGGAGAAAAAAAGGAAATTGGTTGTAAGGCACAGGTCGTGATCAAACAACTTAGCCACAGCGTGAGTGGCCACTTCTAAACAGAGCATTGTAAGAACAAACAGTTCTGTCAAATGAGACCTTCTTATAGAAATGACCCATTTCATGTCATAACTTATTTATATGTTAAACAAGAGTAAAGAAAGGTTTTACCGTGGAAACCCAAAAGCTAATTTATACAGATGTTAGGAAGTCCTAGGGTCTACATTTTACTTAGTGCAAAAAAACTTCTTTATGCATTCATATATGAGCACTTTCTTCTTTAATCTTCACAACTTTGAAATCGTCCCCTTTGCAAGCAGCGACTTCACATCACATCTTTAGTTTCAAATCTGTAGTTCCTTTCGCCAGCATCATCATCAAAAACAAAACTGCTGACATTCTTTCCGCACTTCAGCATTCTTAACTAGCCCAAAAGGTCATCGTTCGATGATGCCCCATGTGTTCAAGATAATTTCCCCAGTTATGCTCTGAGATTATATTTTGAACACCTGGAAAACCAAGCCTCCATCAGAATCTGCTAATGTCTTTGTGAACATATTTGATCTGGGCTTAGTGTCAATATTTGAAAAAAGAAATCAAGTAAATAGCTTCATTCCTCAAGAACACAAACTAGTAAGTAGGGCAAGCGCACGCACACACACACAAACACCACTACTAGAGAGGCTGCCCTGGGCTACAGACAACATGTCAGAGCCCCCAAGGAGTCTGAATGTATTCCCCTGAATTAAAACACAGGCTCAGCTGTTTGCAGTCATCACGTGCCCTTGCAAAAGACACCTAGCAAATGACCTGACAGTCGAGTTTATCTCAAACAGTCTTTGTACCATCAGAGATTTATTTCTGTCTCCTGCCAGGAAGAAAGAAAGGCTTCTGGCACTAGAAGTGAATGAAATTCATCACCAAGGATTCCTAAGGTTCAGGCTTCTTTCTGTCTGTGAGCAATGGCTTCCTGCTATCTGGTTCTTGGCCCTCCAGAGACCCACAGTCTCTGCAGCAACAGCAGAGGGACCAAGCACAGCTTCTTCCATTCTTGAAATTGTATTCTGGCTGCTCCCTGCTCTCCTGGGCAAACAAGGATCCCCACAGAGAAAAAGGATAAGAATTTCCTGTGGTGGTATCTCTATCATCAAAATGCACCAGGCTGGCCATTTTAGAAAGAGCTGTTCAGAGTTCCTAGAAGCCAAAGCTTCTGGGAAGTATCCACTCACTGCAGGTAACTCCTTCTTAGTAATAGATGCTCACATGGCCTATGAGACAGTGAAGGGCTGTAACTCCCAGTGGTTAGACTTTGGGTCCTCTCTTGGAAAGCTATTATTTATAAAGATCACTACATGCCCAGCGTTCCAAAACTCAGCTCCCGTGTCTAGTTTTAAAGTAATAAAAATTATGGTGCTTTCTCCTTTTAAAACAATATTCTGTTGACTAATATTTACATTTTTAAATGACAGACTACTACTGCTATTTTATTGAAAATATACATTTCTGAGCCTCATTGCAAAAGAAGCACTTGAGATGAGCAGGTCACACTCTGGACCTACATAAGTTTTCCCCAAGACATACACACATACATACATGTAAATCATGGAAAGTTACTTTTATACCCTTGGATATTTACAGTAACATTATGAGAAAGTGGAAGCTAGCTAGTTTCAGAAAAGACATGGCAGAAGTTTCCATGAGGCTATTTTATAATGTTAGGTATCATGTCCTAACAATTTTATTAGGAAGGCATTCTTGTCTACTACACTACAAAACATAAATGTTTTGTAGAAAGAGTGTCATCATAATTTCTGTGTGACTTTAATATTTAATAGCTTGGGGTGGTCTGTAGCTCAGTGGTAGAGGGCTCATGTAGCATGGACAAGGTTCAGAATAGGCCAACCCAGTGCAAACGAAGTCAAACACAATCTCCTTTAGTGGTATTTTTATACATCAACTGGGGAATATAACTGGCATCTTTTAGACACTGAATAATGGTATTGTTTATTACTGGAGAACTAGAGAATGACCTCACCCTTGGAGAGGTGCTAAGGTTAAGGATGTTTCTACCAGAGAACCTTCCCAGACAAGGAACCAAGTAAAGAAAAGAAGGAAGATTAAAGGAACGCTCAAAGGGTTCAAGGAATGGAGAGTATGCCTTGGCACAGGAGAAAAAATGGGCAAATGGGTGGGACAAGAGGCTCTCCTGAGAGGATGTGAGTCCTCTCGGCCAACCAGGAAGAAATACTTAGTCATATTTTAATATTGCTGGTTTAACTATGCAGTCAGCAGAAGGGTATTGTGTGTGATCCCAAACTCAGACTGGGTTTTTGAGACAGAAGACAGTTAACTAATCTATGACCACTAGTTCATCTTTTACCTTCTGCCAGGAAGAAACAGCTAATGGTATTTGCTGTCATCAGTAAAAAGAATTTACTTTACCTCTGTGGCTAGTTTAAAGCCCTAAATTGCTCTTCCGGTTCATTCTTAACTAGGATTCCTTGCTGAAATGTCAGTATTCAAAATTCAGAAGGTGTCTCTGAGAACATGCCTCCTCTCCCAGTTCTTCAACTGCTTGCTGACCCCAACCCACCCACAGGCCAAAGAGAAGGGCTATCCTTAGAACTGAGCCCACGCTAACCCCTTGAGGTGGCAGATTGCTTCTGGGAGTTACCACATCAGCCACGACTTTTCATGAAATAGCTTAAGGTTAGCAATGTCCTGGAAAGCACAAGGCTATAAGAAGGAGGTCCCCAAAGTGAGAGAGCCTAGTGATGAGGTGAAGGGCACAAATCCAAGGTTAGTGAGGGCAGTGCTAGGGATCTATCTGCCCAGGCTTCTTTTCCTTTTTTCTTTTTCCAGGCAAGGTTTCTCTGTGGCTTTGGAGGCTGTCCTGGAACTCGCTCTTGGTCTCAAACTCACAGAGATCTGCCTGCCTCTGCCTCCCAAGTGCTGGAACTACTGCCCAGGCTTCTCATTAGCTGAATCTAGGACTAACTACTCCAGTTTCCTTCTCAGAAAATGGGTTCAATAGCATTGCCCGGTTGACTGGAATTCTGATGAATGCCTGCAGAGAGTTCAGCACAGTGCACACTCCCCTCACTTCTGCATCTCTAAGATCAGAACAAGGGAAGTAACTCTTATTGTCGACACATGGGGAGTGAGCAGGTCACAAAGGGACAAAGGAGCTGTGTCTACGAGGGCTTCATTATAGGCAGGCATTCAGAAGATGCCAAAGGTGACTCCAACAGGACAGTCGAGACAGCGGAGGGAGGACAGCAGGTTTGAGACTGTCTCCCAGGGAGCTCCAGTTCTCACCCCACCCCTCCTGACCAGGTCATATTGATGACTAGGTGCTCATCAGCCACACAGATTTAGGGTTCAGACTGTGTTGAAGCCGGGAGCCTGAACAGGACACTGACTTCCACCTTATCAGCTCCAAAATGATACAGTGGGTAGAAAGTGACCCCATAAAAAGTGCCACGAAGAACAAAGTGGGAAAAGACACTAGCTGCAGGAAGGGGTGGTGTCTAGGAAGCAAGGGGACTCTTAGTCTCGGTTTTTCTTGTTTTAGAGGCTGTAAGAGCAGAAGTCAGCGGAGGCGGGGATGGTGGCAATACACAACTGCAGTTGGTAAGTCCAGTCCAGGAGATGAGAGAAGAGACCAGGGCCATGGCACACGGGCACAGTGGGCCTTCCCTTGACAAGGGGTACATACACGAGGAGGGAGGGGAGACGGAAATACACACAGAAGGGGATATGGCCTCTGGGGTCTAAGGAAGGGCAAAGTCATAAGAGGGCGAAGAGCTGAGGGAAATAGATGATTATAGGTGCAAGGAATGAAAGGACAAGAAGTGTTCTCTACCCTCTAAGAGACCCTCCACCCCCACTCACCCACCCCAAAGGTACGACTCCTTTAGCAGAGAGTAGGACTGTGAGGGCACTGTGTACTGTGGATAGCTCTTGGGCATGGCCAAAGCTGAATAGCACTGGAGTCGGGAGGCCATGGATATGGAGGAATGGACTATCTGCGTCGGACACAGCACAGCCAGAGGCAAGTGCAGCAATGCTCTCACCGCATACATGTGGATGGATGGGCTATGTACACCCCACACACCACAGCCAGAAGTGAGGGTGATGCTCTCACCGCACACATGTGGAAGGATGGACTAAGTACACCCCACACGCCCACGGCCAGAAGTGAGCGTGATGCCCTCACCACACACGTTCTCAGCATCCTTCCTTCTATCGCATGCCCCACTCTTAGACAAGTCACAGTGGACACTGGCTCTTTGTGAAGACCTGTCACCCCTCCAGGCAGATTCCTGGACTCCTGGCCTCCATTCCCTCCATCTTTATGAAAACATCTCTAGAGCAGCATCACTCCAATTATATGTCTTTATCCTGCTGTACTTTCCTGCTACACTGTGGCCTCCACCAAGCAGCACAACAGCATACAACAATAGATGTCTGGATATAAGGCTGGAAAGCATTTAGACAGCAAGGGTTTCATTAACATCTCAAGAATTGAAATGTGAGCCTGCTGTGATGGCTCATGCCTGTAATCCCAGTACTTCAAAGGATGAGGCAGGAGGATTATCATCATGAGTTGTAGGGCAGCATGGGTTATATGGCGAGATCCAACCCAGCCTGGTTTACTGTGAGAGCCTGTCTTAGTACCCACCATCCTAAATAAAAGTCTAGGCAAACTACTACTACTGTGCAATTAGCATAAATACATTTTTCCCCAGAAACAGGGATCAGTGGTCATTATTTCAGCTTTACCCACACACTGAGTCTGAGTGGGAGTTAAATGAAGCCTTTTCATTTAACATCTAAGGTCAATTTGTCTTGCTCTCCATCCTGGCTCAAGGAAATTCTTGCACAAGTCTGCCATGACTTCAGGAAAGAGAAGATATTTAGAGTTGCAGCTGGATGTTTTGTGATAGAGCTGGCTGGTGCACTTCTCTACCAAAC